TATGAATTTCTGTACGATACTATTTGTTTGTCATTTTTATCTAGAGCTTATATAAGGTTCGAAATGCACAAGAGAATGAAAAAAAATGATTAGCGGATTCGCGGTTGTTTATCTCGACAAATTATAAAATAATCATCATCAAACAATAAACAAAACCACCTAACCTTAAATCGTCTTAACCCATTTGTAGAACTTGTCAACGATATGTTCCATAACAACAAACCGGTAGGCTTATTTGATTGGTTCGAATCGCCTCAATCGATAGAAGTGACAGGACGTGTCGTATACCTAGACTAGGGCTCAGAATTTTAAAAAATCTTATATTCGTTTAGTGGTTTATTCGAATAGTAAAATTATTCGAATACTCGAATATCTAACGAGTATTCGAATTGTTCGAGTATTCCAATATTCGAGTATTTCTATTCGTATTCGTTAGACATTCGAGTGTTAACCTCAAAACACCGCCCAATTGTTGATGACGCGAATGACCAAAACACAGAGACGCAATTTTATATTCATTTGCAGGAGAGTAAATATGATTATTTCCATTTGCTTGTAAATATATGGGTATTTGTTTAAATGCTTGTAGAATATGAATAATTTATTTTATAAAAGTATACAAAGTGCTTATAAAGATATTTGCACCTTGTGAGTTTGATAATGTTGGTGTATTCGAGTATTCGGTTATTCGAGTTATGACTACACATAATTATTCGCTTTTCGAATATTCGAATACTCGAATTATTCGAGTTTGATTCCGTGCCCTAACCTAGACGCTTGTTCCTCTAGCACCCGTGTGATCAACCTACGATACTGTCGATGTATTAAAACGTCCCATGCCAAACCTAACACCAATCAAACAGTAAATAAATAAGAAAATACCTTGATGGGGACTAAGTCAGTGCAATACATGGTGTGCGAGTAAGTGGGACCTATGGAGGTGGACATTTGCCTCGTCTGGTCGACCTCCCAAGGCTGATGGAACGAGCGGAACGTACTGTGGACCTGAGGAGCTCCACCCGGGGAGGGAAGATCCATGGGAACGTGCACCAGCACGTCCTTACATACACAGACATGCAGCGTAAGCAACAGGTTATGTGAAAGGGGGTAGAAATCAGTGTTGCCCACGCGTCTAAACGGTGGCAAAACTGATACAATGTTACAAGAATATGTATTGAGGATGTGAAGAGCTTGCGCGCAATCTATAGTTATGTGCCTTCAAATGCAACACATCACGTTCCACATTTTAGGTCTAGTTTCGCTATTGACAAAACATATAAATTAAACATGATGCATTGTGAATGTCCGTTATAGAGGGTGCGTCTGGTTGGGCTGGATATTGAACGATACTGGAAGAATCCAATGGATCCCGAACGGGAGTGCTGATCAATCCAGACACACCCTGTATGATCGAAAATAGTTTGGCAATCGTGCCCAGTGTATAAGAGCACATGTGTGATGTGAAAGTCAATAAATCATGTGGTGTATTAAACATATCCCGTTTCCGGCAGTTCAAGGTTGAAACAGATAAATAAAGTGGGAAATAAAATACATATACTCAACGATAAAGGGAGCTAGCAGTTTTATGTAACATAATACAGATTGAGCACATAAAGGGAGCAGTGTCGAGTTTCTTGAACCACTTTGAACATGTTTATATTGGACGTAATAAACCAAACAACGAGACGAAAAAACGTGTGTTGCATGTGTGAAGGACCTCGCAGTCGTTTAAAATTTGTGGTTTTTGATGTGAAACATCCAGCTAAAATCTAGGTTTTTTGATAGTTATTTTTTTGAAGAACATGCTTAACGTCCTAACAGAATGCCAGTTAACGGGCAGATGCAAGATTGTCGATGAAGAGAAAGGATGTTCAAGTTCAAGCACTAGAGTGCCTAGACGAATGAATCCACTTACTTGAGTCGCGTAGATCCGATTCGAATCCGAACTTATCCGCTTTCCAGCCTTAACATCCTTGATCCTTTTAATGGCCAGCATGATTTTCTTCTGATGCCCCAACTTCACTATTCCGAACTCCTCCAAGTCCTCCCAGGTCAGCTGGGTGACGTCGTCAATCGTTTGATAGCCTTGCTCGATGAAGGCAGGAAGATATTCGTCCAGCCTGAGAATCCTCAGCCACTCTTCAAGCGATCCCTATCGGAAACCACGCATTAACCAGTGTCGCACCAGAACCTCTTAGCCTTACCGGCACGAATTCTGGAAGATTATCCGGCAAATTCAACTGAGCAATATCAGCTTTAAGCTTTTTTCGGTGATTGGGCTTTTTGATGCCGATCGCAGTCAGGTCTTCCGGAGTCATCCGGCCGATGGTCGGCAGGTCATAACCGGCGGACACAAACAGAGGAAAATACTCTTCGAACTGAAGATCCAACAGCCAAGAATGGATTATATCTTGATCCTGTTGAAGATATTTTCAGCAAAGGACCTCTTTCCAATGGAAACTAGTCACCTACCGGCATGCCTTGATGGATCATTCGCTCGATTCGCCCTTGATCGGAGCCAATCGAGCACGAACTGAGCGAACATCGCGGACTGTTCGAGGAGCCTATCGTGCTTCTGCCGGCTGTGCTCAGTGGATGGTACGAAGCTCGACCACTGTCTAAAGAAGCTGTACTGTGTCTGGATCCTGAACCAGCACTCCCACTGGATGATCCTGGACTGTCCCTTCCAGGCGACTGAAAATGGAGTTTTCAGCAATTAATGTACATTTCTTCGCGCTGCAAGGGCTGAGTGTTGGGAAACAGCAGGCGCCTAAGCAGTAGGAGCTCAAGAGGGCGGGATGCAAAGCAAAAACGTTCATTGTCAGCGAATCTTGAGCAGATAGTAGGCCTGAGTAGCACTGAGCAAATTGATTGAGTTACCCAGGCCTAGCCAATAGTCAAGAAGTAAAGTGGCGCAGTCGCATGGTTGCATTTTTTATGACTAAACTTGGACTTTCTTAAGAAAAAATCCGTTAAAGCCAATCGAAATATATTGCATAATAACCAGCGCTTGGCGAAAAACCCCGGAGAAAACTGGTAAAAATATCGCAGAAAGAAAACCGTCCAATCTTTGACTGAGCAAATATTATTTCAAATTACCGCATTCGTGGGGTAAACAACCTGGCCATGAATTTTGACGATGTTTGTCCATAAACACAGAATACGAAATCAGCTCCGGCAAATTTCAGTAATGCTTAGTTAGTAGGCATCAATTTTCTTTGGTACCTGAATAAAACATTAGACGGTTATTTTCGTCCGATCGGGCCAATCGGATGCGCCGCCCGAAGAAAATTGTAATCGCATCAATATAAATAAAGCTGTGGGTGGACGGCGCTTTTTTCATTCAAAAAGTTCAAACGGACTGGAACTTGAAACTGGTCCAGTCAGGAAAATGCATTTTACTAACTTTGTTTTAAAACATGTGGGTGTAGGAGATTAATAATTCGTTTTTATTGGGAAATAGGCGCTCTCTTGATCAAGACGTGAAATTCGGCAAAATTCCCCACACAACGCTTCAAAGACTATCTTAAAACCAGCAATGTCACCCAACATTTTCCGATAAAGTTGCCTATAAAGTGTACACGTGGAAAAGGAAATGTTTAGAGTACGTTTCCACCCCAGAATGGAAGGAATTGAATGTGAAAGCAAACGTTTTTCAAGTGGAAAAATCGCGATTTTATTATTGGCGGCATGAACCAGCCTCTGGAAGAAAAGGTTGAATTTCGTATCTCGGACAAGAATAAAATAATTTAATATCAAAACACGAACAGAACCAGCGAAAGTTTATAATAAATTATTTGAAAAACTTGTCACCTCCTCCGTTCCTCTGAAGTCTGTAGAGCTTGTTACAAAAAAGTGGTTTTTCAGTTTTGACTGATTTTTTTGCTTTCCTTTCCACTCAAAAAAAAGCTCTATTTTGTAGAGTTTCACTTACAAATACTGACGATCTGGAGATTTTTTACTCGAAAAATTCCTAGACAAATCCATAGCTTTGAAGGAATTTTACAAAAACTTATTTCAGCGTCGAATTCTTTTCGAAAACTTATTTCAGCGACAAAAACGAAAATGAACTTCACCCGGTTTTTTCCCGAAAATTATTAAGATTTTCTCAAAACCCGACCACAAAACTAAAAATCTGAAATCGAAAACGCAAAAAACATTATTTTCTGATGATGTTCTCCTTTGTTGACAATAATGCGGTGTTTTCAGTGAAATGTGGCAAAATTAATTTTGCTAGAAAATTCGCCTTTTTCATCGGTTTGTCGAGAACTTTAGAAAACCCTTTTCAGCTCCGAATTGGGCACAAAAACCAAATAATTTTACTCAGTTTTTACCGAAAGTAATTAAGACTATCTTGAAAAAACGGCCAGAAGAAAAAACAAATATTTGGAAAATTCGCCACCCGCATCGCTCTGAAAATTTTTCAAGTTTCTTTAAAATTTTAGGTCATTCCAGTTTTAGCAAAGTTTCAATTAAGCAATTCTTGCTGCCCAAAAACGTGTTATTTTTAGTTTTACTTGAAATACTGACAATCTTCAGGTATTTTCTTCAAAATTATAAAGTAAATTGTATTGGGACGCTCGGCTCCTGAACAGCTTCGTAATTTTTTTCAGGAACCTTTTGCAGCTTCGATTTTTGGACAAAACCCGAATAATTTTTTCGAGCTTTTTTCCCAAAAATATTTCCCCAACAGAACACACGAAAGTTTATAATCGATTATTGGAAAAACTCGTCACTTTTGTCGCTGTAAATAATTTGGTTTATTTAAATTCCGGTTTCTTCACTTTTAGCTCTGATTGCGGTGCTCTTTTCTTTAAATAAATTCCATCGTTCTTTGTGGTTAGTTTAGAAAGTGTGCTGCTCAAAACTTAAAATGTATACAGTTTACGGTGCTTGAGAACATTCACTTGGTCAAATCTTGGAAGAAATATAGGCGAAGAAGAAGCAAGCGTGTTGGGGTGGCCAAGCTAATTAATCCTACCTGGGTCATGTCGATCCCTTGGTCTTCTTGAAGGCTGAGCTGATGGTGGTAGTAAACGGCAGCTTTGTGAGTGAGAACAGCCCCGGGAGGCGGCTGACCGGGGAAAGTGAATGTTGGGGCAGGAAAAATGGGTCCCGGAGACTTCCCCGTACTGCCACTAACTGTGCTCCCATAATCCGAGTGATCATCTGAAAAGAAAAAATCCGTCAGTAATTTATTCAGCAGTTTATTCTTCTGAGGCCAGTAATAAATAGCCTCATCGCGAATGGCAAGACGTTCTACTTAGAGCAGCCTCCGGATATGTTTCTTCTAATTGCCCTTAAGTGGTTTCAAATGAAGCTACTTAACAAATAACTCGTTTTGCACGCTGTAATAAGCTGATTGCCGATTCCCGGGTTGGTTGCATGACAGAACATTAGTTTCCTCTTATTGCCTCAATTAAGCTGTTTCAGTTTCGATGCGTCTTTGTAGCGGCAGATGCCGTAAAAAACAGTCGCCCAAAAACCAAACTAATAATTTTAATTTCCTTCCTTGCCCCCGCAAATTTTAAAGATATAATGAAGAAGCATTCTACGCATCTGGTTAGAGAATCGGTCATATTTATGTCCGGGTTTATAACCACGTCGTTGTTGGGGTGCGTATAGGAAGGCCCTGAAAGTGAGCTTGACATTCCCCATATTTTATGGGGCAAAACCCATTTTTACGATCTGCCTTATTCGGCCATCATTCGCTGATCGGATCACAATTTTTTGGGATGTTACGCGGACGAATTTGGCATGATTCATCGAAGAAAATCGTTGCAAAAGCGAGCAAGAGCAGCAACAATTCCATCTAATTGTCTTTTCGTCGACATAAAGCCATCAGATCACACACGACATGGCGCCGTATATCTTCGGCACACAGTGAATCGACCTTAACCAGGTGAATGTACTCAGATGGTTTGAGTGCGCTTCGCTGGCATTGCCCCTGGCATTGTAAAGCCGCATTAGGATTTGAAGAATACTGGCTTGTTAGCTGGCTTTGCTGCGATAAGACTCTTTCAGATAAATGGTCTTGTGTTTTTGTCAATAAAAGCACGAAAAAGCGCAAATAGAATGCAGCCAGAAGGGAACAAAGTGGCCTTTCAGCAGCTGAGCTTTTCCCCCCGACTTTGCCAGCTTAAAGGTGCTGTTCACTCCTCGGGATAATCGAATGGACAGCTCAAAAATAGATATGCATATAATAGTGGACGAATTACTTCAGGAGGAGTTCAGCGTTGCAAAGCAAAAAAAGTGCCGGAAAATAAGCTGAATGGCCAAAAAATGGGCTTCTGATCCGAAAAAGGAAGGGTTTTAGGTAGCAACTTCTTCTGATCGGGTGACTCCTGTTGTAACATCGCCGTTTTTACAGTGAATTTTATAAATATTCGCTCAAACTAACACGCACTAAATTTTAATAAAATAACAACTGAAGAATAGCACAAACTGGCATGCCCGAGTCCACACGGTTAATTCAAAATTAAGATTAACAGATCAATTCTGGACAAATTAGAGCTGATTTTTGATTGATCAGAACACCGAACAAATTAACTAATTAAATAAAGAAGAATATTCGAGTGCTGCCAAACAGCTATACAGGGTGATTCACGACCTTATGGACACAGAGGACCTCAAAACAAGTCGAGTTTCAATTTAAGTTTTTTTTTCAGGCCCATGGTTAACGAGATACAGGGTGTTGAAATTTCACAATTTTTTTTAACGTAGGCTAATGTTTAGACCGTTTACCCATAGGTAAGGCGACTGGTTGTGAAACTCGACAGTGTGTGATAGAATTCATGAAATTACACAGTTCTTGAATATTGAACTTAGTAATGTACTTGAATGGCTTAATAACAATTATCTTGGGACTGAATATAAGTAAAACGAAAATGACGATAATAAAGGGTGAAAATAGGAAAATTGGTAATAAGAGCATCGATAGGGTGATGCAATTTGAATGCTTGGGATGTGTAATAGATCAAAATTTGACATTTTCCGAGCACTACAAGTACATTACAAATAAAACTGCAAAAACAGTTAACACTCTTAGTCGCATATCTGAACACTAGAGTCCTTGGGCTAAATTAACGATTTACAGGACGATTGTAGAACCTCATCTTTACTTTTGTTTTGCGTTGCTTTTCCTTATGAACTAAGTCTGAAATACAAATTTTACAGAAAAAACAAAATAATGCTTTAAAAATTATACTGTCATGTAACAGATACACAAAAATTAGTGATATGCTAGAATCAACAAATTTGTTGAGTGTTAGACAGACTGTTATGTATAACACATTCGTTTTTATTTATAAAATATTAAACCATCTGTCCCTAGGACATCTGTTAGAAAATTGTAAGTTTGTGAAGGACATACATGATCATAACATGGTCAAATGATAATTTATATTTGAATAGAGTTAGTAGCAGTTCTAGTCAAAACAGTTTATTTTATAAGGGACTGAAATGTTATAATGAGTCGCCACGAGATGTAAGGTGCAGTAATGGTCTTGGTGTCTTTAAAAAATCTTGTGTTATATACATTTGATTTAGAATATTTTTAAATTTTTGTTAAATGTTTGAAAATTGTATTTATTTGCTAGCAACAGCTATTAATAAAGATATCATTATTATTATTATTATATTAAATAAAGAAGAATATTCGAGTGCTGCCAAACAGCTATACACGGCGATTCACAACCTTATGGACACAGAGGACTTCAAAACAAGTCGAGTTTCAATCTAAGTTTTTTTTTCAGGCCCATGGTTAACGAGATACAGGGTGTTAAAATTTCACAAATTTTTTTAACGTAGGCTAATGTTTAGACCGTTTACCCATAGGTAAGGCGACTGGTTGTGAAACTCTACAGTGTGTCCTTTTTTCTAGCGGCATTACCCCTTTTACCCCCCGAACTTTTTTATGGTGCGCCACTGACTTCGACCGAACAAATTTAAGGATTTTCTGATCTCTTGCAGTTTTTTCGTATCTGTCTTCGTTTTCGAGTTATTTGCGCAAATATCCATGTAGTGTAGGGTCATTTCCCATGAATTTTCTTATATTTTTTGCGTCCTTTTGTTCACAATTTTTTGCGTTTATAACCAACAATATAAGTGCTAGGATTGTTGGTTATAATTCGGGTTGTGTTTATTAAATTGTTCACAAATAGAGCGAGTTTTTGTAATCTTTCGAACCTCAAAAATTCAGTTCAGCATCGAAATGTGCAATTCTGCCCTGATAAAAAGCAAGAAAACTGTTCGCAGAACATTAGCCAACCCCCAAAACTTCTTTTTATTTGATATTTGATATTTGTTTGTTCAAATGTTTAAACTTTATCCATAAAGTGCTCTACACAAAATAAACTTCTCTAGAATCTCACGGTTCGAAGCGCAGTGAAACTCTGCGAAAACTCCGGTTCTAATAACCCGAACAAGCCTCTTTTCCAAAAAACCTTTGACTTTACTTATACCCTTGACTAAATGAGATCGCAGTCTTTACATCGATCGTAATGCTCTGATGTAAGCTGTCTGAATCAGGTCGCATGTTATATAAAGTTGACTGGTAATCTGGAAGGTCCGATATGCAGACCCGATTTGTGACCGTGCGATTTCAGACCATCACACACTTAAACTTTTACAATAAGAGCACAGTCCATGTCGAGCCAAACCTGTTCAAGTCAGCTTCACCATATTGGGATAGGAAGGACTTTGGGTGTGTGTTTGCGCTCAGATACTCGATTCGTTTCGTTTTTTTTTCCATTATTTGCTTGTTTCCAGTTTGATTCACTCAGACAAATAATGTCTTTATCACTTGTCAATTAGATCGAACATTCTTCACGTGAATCAATAGTACAATCGCTCCTGCCTTGTCAACATGTGTGGCAAACGATTCTTATCGTTGAGAAGGCAATTTAAATGATTTAGAGCTTGATTGATTGATTTGCGACCAACTGTTAAAAGCAGATTTTCCTTCTTTGTGCTCACCCAGTCGCACTTGATAACTAAAGGTCACCGTTAAAGGCCGAAGCGACAATTTTCTCACATGAATTTCCTTCAAGGCTTCCAAATTGCGTAAACTCCGCAATAATTCAAGAACATGCACATTCAGCCACATGGTGAATGGAATTGATTCATTGATTGTTTTCCTTCTGCACAATGAATTGCTTAAATGATGCAAATTCGGTTTTGGCAATAAATTACTCAAGCGTGGGTATTATGTAAATTGATGACACAACTTGGCTTGTTGTTATTAATGAGAGTTGGTTTTAAACACTAGTTTTGCGTCCAGATGTTGACTGATTAGCGCAGCTTTACGCGATAAATGTTCCAATGTATTCTGATAGTCCATTTACTCAGCCGCTTAAGCAATGATATAAAGAGGGAGGCTAAATATTGGAAGCTTTGAAGCGCGCACTTTAGAATCTAACCCTAAATATGCCGCAACACTCACGTCTGGATGCATGGTTGCCGGTTTGCTTTTGTATAAAAAACGTATAGTTTTTTTTTGAGTTGCAAAATTCACTTGAACATCTCTCTATCGTTGGATAGAGAATTGAAAAGTCGATTTAGCCGTAACAACGTGAGTGAGGAAATTCGAGTAGTTTTGACCCAGAAAGCGAAATTTGAATATCAGACACTTAGGTGCAAGATTATGCCAAAATTTCA